CCCTCTATTTCACACTTCTTATACAGAAGCAAATCATCCTTTATAATGGAGCAAAGATGGACATAATCCCCAAAATGATTCAAATATTGACTTCAATTCACTGAGTACACACATCAAATGCTACCCATGGAAACTGTATGGCCTGGGTTTCACTGGCTGGTGAATAGAAATTATGATGTTCTGGGTCCCCACCTTCTTGCCTAGCAGTCATTACAGGTTTTTTTCAGGATTTCCGAATCCAAAGATTTTTGATAATTCTCAGATTGCAGGTCCTCGAGAAGGGTCCGTTCCTTCTAACAGTCTGCCGGGAGGTGGGCTGATAGGGTAGGGAGGCTCATCTCTCGCATGAGCAGAGCCCCTCCCTGCAGTTTTATGTGCCTCTGTGGGCATTTGACCCACTCCCCACCCACTAGTGGCCACCTGCTTCCTTCAGAGGACTGACCTTAGCCCAGCAGAGAAATGCATTAACTGCTCTCGTAAATCACCTTTCAAAGGAGCTTCCCAGGTGGAGCTCTTGGGCTGACACACTCTGTAGTGTCCTTCCCAAAGTAAAGAGGAATGTCTGGAGGGGTTAGGGAAGGGGCTGGGGGTGGAGCGGGTAAAACCTCACAACAAACCTCAGATCCTTGCTCCTTCATACCTCCGCCCTGCTGTTTTATCAAGCCCACTCTACAAGACTTCTTTCTTATTTGCAATAATTTTCACTATTTTCCTCCAGGGAAACCCTTACTCCATCAGATAGGTCTGTTTGTGTGAACTCCAGTTTGGGAATAAAAGCAGGTTCTTTCCCATGAGATTCCTGGCCTTATGCACCAGAGAGGTCTTTGAGGGGAGGCTTCGCTTCTTTAATCTCTTATCAGCTTGCTTCCCCAACCAAGCAATTGTATTATCTCAATAGAAAATATGTAAATGCAGAAGAAACGTCACCAAATCTTTTTTTGACCTTATTGACACCGATAAATCTCTCCTATATGGAAATTCAGGATCATTGTTGAAATCAGAAGAAATTGCTCACTCGTCTTTAAAAATGGAAATATTCTGACAAGAGGCTTCTCGAGAAAACCTCTAGGGGGCAATGTTTTCTAAAAGAATCTTACCATTGCCTTAGTCCAACCATTCTGACAGCATTCTTCATTGCCCAAGTGGGTAGGCGCTCTTCAAAGGATCTCATCTTTCCTGGCCTTCTGTATTTCCAGCTGCCTCAGGAGGGCGCCGGTCACATCTACCAACATGTAATAAATGCTCTAATTACATGCCTCTTGCCTTTTGATCGTTAATCTGACTTAGGTCAAGTGATCTCCAGGTGAGCCATCCTACCTTTATATTTGAGAAATGTAATCCAGTTTTCTAAGTACATATAGGTCCTGGGTGCCTTTCTGGCTTAAAATTATTCCTTGAATTGATGTCATCACTCAGACAACTCAAAATCCTAAACATACAGGTTTGCCTATGATTCCCATAGTGCATTTGAAAGTCTGTTTTGTGTTTTATAGTTGCTTGGGTCTCAACTAATAGCAGTGGTCTGTGTAGGAGCTCTTTGAAGCTAGTAACTCTTCATCTTTCTACCCCCAGAGTCTAGCAGAGTGATTCACTCTATAAGAATTCATGGATATAGATAGTGGTTCAGGGCCAGCCCCGAGGCCGAGTGTTTAGGTTTACACGCTCTGCTGCGGAGGCCCAGGGTTTTGCCGGTTCAAATGCTGGGCACAGACATGGCACTGCTCATCAGGCCTTGCTGAGGCGGCGTCCCACATGCCTCAACTAGAAGGACCCACAACTAAAATATACAACTATGTACCAGGGGGCTTTGGGGAGAAAACAGAAAAAAAAAAAAGATAGTGATTCACTCTATAAGAATTCATATAGTGATTCTTATAGCGTAAGATGGGTAAATGAATGCATAGATACACGAATATACCCAAAACCTTATTTTGGGATGTTAAACAGTTTGACTTAGAGAATAGGCAGCACAGTGTAGCTAAAGAAAGAAACAATTGATTTTAGGAAATCAATGTATTAATAAATATAAGGACAACCAGTGTCCCATTCTCCTATAGCACTTTTTAAAAAAATTGAAATATTGGGCTGGCCTGGTGGCGTAGTGATTAAGCTCGTGTGCTCTGCTTTGGTGGCCAGGGGTTCACAGGTTCGAGTTCCATGTGCAGACCTAGGGCTGCTTGTCAAGCCGCACTGTGGCGGCATCCCACATGAAATAGAGGAAGGTTGACACAGATCTTAGCAACAATCTTCCTCAAGCAAAAAATGTAGAACTGTTAACACTCTGTATCACTTGTGTGGGTATATTTCAACTACATCTATTAATTTAAATGCATGGTTTAGAAGTTATTGAAGACATACATTTTTGTAAATGAATTTATGTAAAAATGAATTCATGTAAATATATAATTAATATATATTTGGGGATTTTATGTATATTCTAATTTCCCGAGAATTAAAAAGTATGCATATTGGGCTGATGCTGGGTTGTTACTGATCTAGATCTCAAGCTGAGAGTCTCTTCCAAATGGAGCAGCACTGGGTTATTCAGGACAGGCAGGACAAGAGAGGCAGGTCAAAGTCTTTCTTTCTGGAGGGAGACAGCTCCAATTAATTTTATGCAGATCCTCCTTGAGGCTCTGGGACTAGGGTCAAGGCATTTTCCCCAGGGCCTGAGCATGACTTGAAGTCAACGCAGAGATTTCTGTGCCATTGTTAACAAGAATCTTGCCAGAGTAGACTTGCCCCACTCTAAGACATCAGATTCTGTGAGTTTGACTCAGATTCTGTGAGATATACAACTCAAACAAGCAATCTGTTCTTGTCTACCCCAGCACTCTTGACGTATAGCTCCTTCTACTTAGATCGCTCCACTCCCTTTCTCAGTCAGGTGAATTCTGCTCCTCCTTTAAAATTCAGTCCAAACTTCATGTCCTCTGTCTTCCTACCCTGTCTCCCCTAGGCAGAGTTAATTTCTGTAATCTTCTGTGTTTCTCTAGGGCTTGGTTCAGCTCTGCATAGCAATAGAGGTTTTAAAAAACTGCAAGTTTTACATGCTAGTTGAAAATCTCCCTGCTTTTTGGAAGTAGTCATTGCTTATAAATTTGGGCATATACTTCCATATCTTTCCCTCTGTGTATGTATGTACACTCTTTTTATGAAAATGGGATCATATATAATTCTTGCACTGAAACTTACATTTCTCACTTAACAATAAATTATGGACATTCATCTATCTCTGTGTAAATATATCTACCTCGTCCTTTATTGCATTTGGATGTACCATTGTTTATTTAACTATTGATAGACATTGAGATGGCCTCTAGTGTTTTGCTATAGTGAACAGCTGTGCACCTGTCTTTATGACTTGGGAGACCTTTAGAAGAACAGAATTCCAGAAGTACAGTTATAGTGAGTCAATGGGATTGTATCCTAAGCACTTAGTTCCAAATCTGTCTCCTCTACCACAGCCTCTTGGGGACAGGGTCATATTGTTTTATTTATGTTTGTATCCCCCAGTGATTAGCATTGTGCCTGGAACATTTTAATTGCTCAATAAATGTTTGCTGAATAATTGAATAAGTGAAAGAATGAATGGCAATGGAAGGTTTTGAGACCCAGTGGGTGAGTCACATGGACACGCTTAATTTGGTATTCAGCTCCTCCTTCTCTACTGCATGGCTGTGAGTAGGCCCCATGTTTCCATGGGGGCAAAGCGTGGGTACAGAGATCTCTCCCTGTTACAAGGGCAGCTACCTCTATTGCTTAGAGCTGACCGCGTAGAGGGCTTCAACCATTTCTTTTAATCCCTAATTCAGTGGCTAACTTCTTTCTGCTATGATGAGATTGCCACCTGCAGCCACCATTGGCTGTAATTTCTAATTTTTTTATTTTATTTACTACTCACTTGGTGGATTGGGAAGCATAGGAGAATACTGTGTGCATGTGACATTAGGAATTTGCAGATACACGTTTTCCTAGGGGAGTGGATTTCCTTTCATATTTGTGTTTCCTTCTTTTCCTTACATCTGAGTAACACAAGCTCCTTGTACCCTCACCTCCTGCCCCGGTCTCTCCCCACTTTCATCCGTCTTATCACTGCGAGACGGATTTTCCTAAAACCCTTCTCCTTTCTCAAATCTTTAGTGGTCCCTATTTCATAAAAGCTAAACCTCCTTAGAGTAACATTCAAGACCTTAGTGGTGTAACCTCAGTCTATCCTTTAATCACGTCTCCCATCACTCACCTTCCTAGACACTCAATACAGAGAAAGTGGTCTATTTTCCTCCATACCCTAAATGTGCCTTGGGCTTTCCTGTCTCAGAAGTCTTAACCTTGCACTTCCTTTAGTCTGAACAAGTCTTCTCCATTTTTCTTCATCCATCCAAATCCTTTAAGACTCAGTCAAGTCCTTCCCTGGTGGGAAAATTTCAAAGCTGCTCCAGGGGCCCATGTGGTCGTTCTCTTCTAATTGTGTGGGACATTCTGTCAACCTCTTCTTTCCTCTTCAGTCAAGTCAGTCTGCAACCCCACTAATATCCTTGACAGGAGCTGTTTTGGTTTTTGTGAGGAAGACTGGCCCTGAGCTAACATCTGTGCCAGTCTTTCTCTATTTTGTATGTGGGATGCTGCCACAGCATAGCTTGATGAGTGGTGTGTAGGTCCATGCCCAGGATTTCATACCGCGAACCCCCAGCCCTCAAAGTGAAGCACGCGAATTTAACCACAGCTCCACTGGGCCTGCCCCCTGGAGCTGTTTTTTTCATTTCTTCACTTGTTTTGTGTCCTTGCCTGTACTTAGTTTTATCTCCTGCAAATACTGTGTAAGTTCTGGAAGGTAGAGATGTGTCCTGCCCCAGATCTGCATGCACAAAGCCCTCAGTTAGTGTTTATCCTTTGCTAGAGTGGATTAACATTCTGCTCCTCTGGAGTCTTTAAGATGAGGGCCAGGCCATTTTTTTACAAACTGTAATTTTTAAGGTTTTTTTCTTTTCTTCTTTTAGCCATACTTCCCATTGCTTCCAGCTGCTGCACCGAGGTTTCCCATCATATTTCCAGAAGGCTTTTGGAAAAAGTGAATTCATGTCGCATTCAGAGAGCTGATGGGGATTGTGACTTGGCTGCTGTCATGTGAGTGTTCTTCAGCAGGGGGATCTAAATCTGCACAGTGGTCATTTCTTGGCCAATGAACAGTAGGCCGAGAAGGCTTTACCTAATACGCAACATACAAATAATCATCTAAACAAGAGTGGGAGAGTAAATATTCTGCCTTCTGTCCGGGCTCCCTGGAGTGAACGCACAATCTTTCTGCACTAGGATGTCCAGAGCCCACATTACCCTCTGCCCCCCACCTCTGTAATGCTATGATAAGGGCTAAATGCCTTCAGTCACCCGACAGCGTGCACGACTTTCCTAAGCAAAACAAGGGACACTCTGGGTGAAAAAATACAACAAAAATAAAAACGGAAGGCCACAGTTCTATTTCATGGCTTTAACTGTAACTTTTTCCAGGCAAGTATATAAGTTGCTGTCATTTTCACTCTCTGAATTCATCAGGAGTGTATGTGTATGTAAGGTTCAGATAGAAGTGTAGAGATGAGATGTCTGTGCCTGTCACAAGTGCTACTTGCAATCAAGCACAAATGCCTTTCTTTGCCTTTGGTTCTGGGCTGTTGGCTCATGGTGAAGCCTCTCCCCACTCCTACCCCCATCCCTGGCTCAGTTATTGAAAACTTTAGACTTATATGTACTTAAGGTCTCCATGGAGACTTTACAATTTGAAATGCATTGATATTTAGCAAATCTAGATTCTGACAACAATGCTGTGAGAAAGACATAAATTATCTCCATGTCACCCAGGAGAAAGCTGTGACTGAGGAGATTATGTAGCTCACCTGGTGACATACAGCTAGTGAATGGCAGAAACGGGATGTGAGCTGCCCAGGTCTCTTTGTTCAGAACACTGTATACCTCCAAGCTCTCTCAAAAGCACTGGTGGGGGCCGGCCCTGTGGCTGAGTGGTTAAGTTCAGGTGCTCCACTTCAACAACCCAGGGTTTCACTGGTTCGGATTCTGGGCGCGGACGTGGCACCACTCATCAGGCCATGCTGAGGCGGCAACCCACATAGCAGAACCAGAAGGACCTACAACTAGTATATACAGCTATGTACTAGAGGCCTTAAGGAAGAAGAAGAAGGAAAAAAAAGCGATGGCGGGACTAGCCATAAAATGCTCTCCCCAAACTCCATTACATTTGGCACCTTCAAAGCATATCAGGCATCTCCCTGGCATGCTCATTTAATACCACTTATGGCTCCAGGTGATGCTGATGAGCCATTTGGTACCCCTTCTTTGGGCTACAAATAAGCCCATTGCTTATACCTGTGTTTCTGAGAACTGGGGAACCTCTTTATTTATTCAATGAATTCAACCAATATTTGTTGCTTAGCATTTATGTACCAAGCACCGTTCCATGTGGCGGAGATGCAGCAGTGATAAAATAGACTCTGCCCTCTTACAGTCTCTAGAAGACTCTATCCAGCCCATCCTGCAGACCATTTTTTCCCCTCTTCAGAGGAATCCATCCATTACCCAACTTTGAGAAACACTGCTCCAAGAAACGGTTCTTAAAAGTTCAGAGGATGAGTTTGTAAGATGTCCATTGATAGACTTCCCTTAGGTCAAGGAGCTGTGAACTCCCTGAAATTTATGGGTATGAATGTCTGAACATTTTTCTGGGGTGAAGGTCCATAGGTTTTATAAGATCCTCAAAAGGGGCTTCAATCTAATAAAGTTTAAAAATCACACTTGGAGTTAGATATGCAGAGGAAGACAATTCCTGGCCCAAACGTTTCATAAGGATGAGCGTCTATGTGGGAGAAGGGAGAGGATTGAGAACTCTCTTAGCAGCTCCTCAGTTCATGCCACCACACTCCATCCATCGGCTCAGGTGGTTTAGTCACTGGGAACCAGTGTATCCGATAGCAATCCACAAAATACTTACTAATGAGGTACGTTCTGAGGGGTGCTTCCAGTTCCCAGCTTCTTTGAAAAACTCCCTTAGTAAGTGCCTGGCTGAGATTCTATCAGTCTTCTGTTTAATCTTAATATATAGTGCTGGTAATAGTTGGAGAGTAAAAATTCATAGGCACTTCATGGACAAACAGTGCTCTGGAAAATTGGAAACATCTGGATATTTGTGTGACATCTACCTAGCTGAATTAAATCTGCCTGAGGCTGCCCTGGCTATTCCAGAAACTCCAAATTCTTAACTTTTGGTTCCTTCCACCTCCTTGACATTTGTCACTTCAGACTAATGAAGGCTTCAAAACTTGAAAGGGCTCCCATTGGACTCCCAGGCAGGCATGGGGAAAGAACCAGAGGAAGTTTCTGTGTGTGTGTAAGAGTAAGAGATAGATGCTGGGGATTATTGCTATTGGTAACAGGATTTTCAGAGAAGTTTCTTTGGGACAAGCAGGTGTGAGATAGAGATCTTAAAGGTATAAGAACAGAAATTATGTAAGTCCTCATTTTGATAAGGAAAAGTATGATCAAAAACATGAGTCTTCACTTTAAAAAGGACTTAATTTTAATTGAAGGGAAACTATGAAGCCAATCCCTTGGATCTAAGAATATTTTATTCAAATACAAGTTTGTAAGTTGAGCTCTCTGTGCTGATAAGACAGCTGAAAAATATAGAGTAGTTATGACCTGGTCTCAAGATTAAATTTGACTGTGTAGCATTTTTAATCATAAATTACAGATCTTCTCTGTTGTGTTTCCTGAAATTCAACATAAAAATATAAAAGTTCTCTTGTTTTCAATTTATTTTTCTACAGAACACATCTTTACTTATCCAAAATATAGCCCCTTAACTTTGAATGTGTATAAAGACTTTAATGTTTGAGTCAAGTGTGTTAGATAGAGGAAATATTGCAAGCATTGGAAATATAATTCCCAAAGGGCATGTGTTATTATAAATCGCAATTAACTAATATCAATTAAGTTACAGTGAACTCACTAGATTTCTTTCCTCTTTCTTTTCTGCCTAGAAATGGGTCCTTTGTTTCACACCCTGTGAATGATCATTGTAATTTTTGATGTCTAAGACTGCAGTTTGCTTGCTTAAATCTCTACAGTGACTTAGTTAAAGAGCTTCTGGCTGTTTCTAACCATAAATACAATGAAAAGTTGTTTATCTTGGGCAGAGAGCTGAGCTTTCTTGAACCATACAGATATTATCTGTTAGGAAGAAAATTGGGGGTTATTAAATAAGGATGTCTGGGAGGCTTGAGTATTTTTTCAGGAGTGGTTGTTAAGGGCTGTTGTGCTTAGAGGAATGGGTAAACAAAGAGAGTGTAGGGAACAATGACAGTGACGATCTCTGGCAGGGCCACCCCTTTGGGTCCATTGGACTGTCTCTAGCTCCCCTCTTGCGGGTAAAAGAAGCAGGGAATTTGCCTTATGGTTTCTTAGAGTCAAACTCTCCACCTAGAAATTCACAATGGGTGGGTCGCTCGGAGCCCATCAGAATACTGTGGAGTTGGCAGTAGGGGAGGGAGTGTGGAATAGGCCACGTCCTTGCCCAGCATGACTTCGTCTCTTTTTATCCTGATGGAATACACAGAGGATACAGGTGGAGGTTTAAGCAGTCTTTAAACTTTAGGATTTGAAAACATCATAGCATCTTGGGTTTGGGAGCTGTGTTCTGGTAGCTGATTTTCCCCTTGTGTGACATTGACAGGTTGAGGCCTCACTGGTAGGCCTTTGAAAAGCGTCCCCATGGGGTTGTTGCCTGTTTTTCTGTGGCTCTCTGCCTCCCTGCATCCTCTGTCTCCAGCCCCCATCCAGTTCTCCCTTCGGCCCCCTGCCAGTGCCCATCCCTGAAGCTCCTCACTGCCCACGGAATAATGGAGTTGAGCCCTAGTTTTCTTCTGTGTAATCTGTGGGCTTGTCTGGTTGTCAGTGGACTGTCAGTGGACTCCACTGCCTGTTGCCCGGGTTCTTGCTGACACCACAGGGAAAGGAGACAGTTTTAGTCCTTTGCAAAGCATAGGAGCTTCAACTCTTTATTTTTGTTTTTTCCTCCACATTAGTACTACAGCCAAGTTTCCTCCTGTAATAGTTAAAGGCAAACCAACCAGCATAGTGAGAAGTAGCTTTCCTTTTGCAGCCTCCCAGGCTAATACACTTAGAGAATATATTGTCCTCCTATTAAGATGCCTCACTTCTTTCAAACTAATATCCCCACATGCCAGCTTTATTATGCTTAAGTTTGTTCAAGCCTGTCCTAACTTTCCCTCCCATTTGTTGGCTGGTGATTCTGCCTGGGTCATCTGGAGATATGGCAGCCTACTCTCTGTCCCCCATACTTTCCCCCCACATAACAGGGTCAGGAGTTTCAGTTTATCCAGACACAGAAATATCGTATATGTACAGCCAGCAGGATTTGTGACATTTAATAAGAGCTGGAGGGCACCTGATGGGGAGTTAAAAGTCACAATATCTTTTGTAACAAGAAATTCTTCTATTTAACAGAAATTGTGAATGCTGCTATAGGATTCTCCTACCCCAAGTTCAAAGTTTCATATAGCAAAAATGAAAGGAAAACAAATTCTGACATATGGTATAGATTTATATTACATTAAAATATTAACAAAAGCTTAGAATATTTTAGTTAATTGTTTGTTGAAAACAGAACCAGACTTTTCTTATTTTGAACAATTTTCCCTTTATATATACAAGTAATTACTGAATTGCTACTGTGCACAAGGCCTTTTCAAGACAAACTTCCAGACTAGTCCTCCTTCAAGGAGCATAACATCACAGGGAAAGGAGAAAGTTTGAGACCCCACTCAAATAAAAGAGCAAACAAGGGCCGGCCCAGTGGCGCAGTGGTTAAGTCCACACATTCTGCTTCGGTGGCCCTGGGGTTCGCAGGTTCAGATCCTGGGTGTGAACATGGCACCGCTTGGCGGGCCATGCCGTGGTAAGCGTCCCACATATAAAGTGGAGGAAAATGGGCACGGATGTTAGCTCAGGACCAGTCTTCCTCAGCAAACAGGGGAAGATAGGCGGCAGATGTTAGCTCAGGGCTAATCTTCCTTAAAAAAAAAAAAAAAAGAGCAAACTAAGCCCCAGTAGAGAAGTAATCAGCACCACAGAGACGCAAAGGAAAAAAGAGAGCATTTAGCTGAGAAGATCTAGAAAAACCTAATGGAGGAGGATATGTTTGAGATGCGCAATGAGGAGTGAATTGGTTTTGATGAGTGAAGCTTGGGGTCTGGAAAGAAAATTTTCACCTGGTTTTTCTTCTCTCCCTCCTCTGCCTCCTCCTCATATTCTTTTCTCCTTTGTCTTTTTCTTTTTTACTCACTGACTTGTAAAGTACCCTCCTTTTTATTCAGGTTCTTCCTTTTTAAAAAATTTTTTTCTATTATAGTTTATATATACATATACATTTTATTGCAATCTCCTTCTCCATCTTTTCACACTTCCTGCCGATGTCTGAGGAAACACAGGCAACAGTGTAGTAAGGTTAAGATTCAGCCTTGTGGTGCTCAGCTTTAGGATTCAGTCTCTAAGAAAACACTAAAAGTGTCTGAAAGTGGGAACTGCCCAGAAGTCACTAAGCTTTTACTTACTTGTACTTTCTATCAGTGATTTTATTTTATTCCCTTCTTGGCAGCCTTCATGTCAAGCGCAGAAGAATCTGTGTCAGCCCGCACAGTCATAATATTAAGAAGTGGATGAAAGAACAAGCAGCCAAGAAAAATGCTAAAGGCACCATTTGCCATAAGAAGAAACACCCCAGCAAGAGGAACAGTAAAGGGGCACATCATAGGAAACATGAAACACACGACCATGAAACGCCTTATTAGAGAGTTGACGAGTGAATCTACGCAGATGATTCCTGAAGTGAACTTGGCCACGGTTGGTTATAAATTTATCACGTGAATGTTCCTTATTGGAAGCCAAGAGGGCAAAACAAAATATTTGTTTTTAAAAGGAACAATTATACAGTAGGCAAATGTAATCAGTAATATACTCAACTGAAAAATGAAATCAAAAGATAATACAGTCATGTGCCACATAAGGACGTTTCTATAAACAATGGACCACATATCCGATGGCAGTTCCATCAGATTAGTACCACAGAGCCTAGGTGTGTAGAAGGCTATGCCATCTGGTTTGTGTAAGTACACTCTATGATGTTCGCACAAGGACGAAATTGCCTAACAACACATTTCTCAGAATGAATCCCCATCGTTAAGCGGAGTATAACTGTACTTATCTTCATATGATATTTTGAGAGCAGCATACAGACATAATTTCCCCAACTTTTTTATTATGAAATTTTCCAAACCTACAAAGAAGTTGAAAGAATGGTACAGTGAACACCTGTATATCTTTCACTTAATCATTGTTAATATTTTGCCACATTTGCTTTCTCTCTCTCTTCTCTTTGTATGTATGTGTATATAAAACATTTTATATCTATATAAATATGTAACTTTTTGCTAAACAATTTGAAAATAAGGTGCAAACATCATGATACTTCACTCCTAAATTTTTTTTGGTGTTACAACTTGGCATCCCTCAAGAATAAAGACATTTTATATATAATCACATTACCAGCTTTAGACCTAAAAAATTAATAGTTTCAATAATATATACAAATACATATTAATCTAACCTAATATATAATATTGTCATCTAATATATATTATATATATTTATGTTTCTACATCCAAATTTCCCCGACTATTTCCAGAGCATTTTATATAGGTTTTTTTAAAACCAATCAAGGTTCACATATTGCAATGAATTGTTATATTTCTTTCATATCTTTTAATCTAAGAAAGTTCTTCCGCTTTTTTTCTTTTCTGTCCTCCCATGACATGGACTTTTTAACAGAGCATGAGCCATAATCTGCTCCACATTCTGGATTTGTCTGTTTTCTCATGATCACGTTCAGGTTTAACATTTTTGGTAAGAATGCTTCCTGTATGAATTTGTATATTTATTATTGCAGTATTTGGAGTTCATGAACATTAGAGTTCATTTTCTACGTAGAAAAGTTTTAGCTGCATATCACTTTAAAACACCTAGTTTGAGCACTACTGTTGTTTGGATTGATAAATTCTGATGCTGAAAAAAAAAATCTGCTTTGCTTCAGCGGCTGTCTGCCTCCCACAGTCAGCTCTTGGAGCAGCACTAGGGAGGGGTCCAGAGTTGGGTTTCAGGAGGGACGATTTGACGCTTTCCCTAAACAAGGGGCCTACGTCTTTCAACTCCTAACCTTTCCCACATCTTGTGCATTGATTCCCATGGCACTGCTCCTCTTTTGGACTCTTTTTTGCTCACAGAAGCTTCGAGATATAGAGTAAGATCTAGCTTTCATAAACAGTGTCAACACAAATAATCCATAATCAATCTATAAATCAAAATTGGGGGGCCGGCCCAGTGGTGCAGTGGTTGGGTTCTCACATTCTGCTTTAGCAGCCCAGGGTTCACTGGTTTGGATCCCGGGTGCGGACATGGCACCACTTGGCAAGCCATTGCTGTGGTAGGTGTCCCACATATAAAGTAGAGGAAGATGAGCACGGATGTCAGCTCAGGGCCAGTCTTCCTCAGCAAAAGGAGGAGGATTGGCAGCAGATGTTAGCTCAGGGCTAATCTTCCTAAAAAAAAAAAAAAATTGGGATGAATTTATTATATGATCAAGTTTTTTAAAATTATCTTTTTAAAGATTGGCACCTGAGCTAACATCTGTTGCCAATCTTCTTTTTTTCCCCCTCTCCTCCCCAAAGCCCCCCAGTACATAGTTGTATATTCTAGCTGTAGGTCCTTCTGGTTATGCTATGTGGGACACTGCCTTAGCATGGCTTGATGAGTGGTGCCATGTCCGCACGCAGGATCCAAACCGGCAAAACCCTGGGCCACTGAAGTGGACTGTGCAAACTTAACTACTAGGCCATGGGGTCGGCCCCTACATGAGGCAGTTTTGAGGACTATGGCCTGGGAGAGAACCTTCACCAAGGAAGGAAGCACTCTGAAGAACCGTGGTCATATATCGTCTTAGAACAAAGAACTCCCATCAAATATGACAGGAATCTCTCTCTTACTACAGTCACAAGATGTTTTTCTAGCACAGCAGGTCAGTGGTCACAAGATGAGCACAGCAGATCAGTAATCAATCCTTAGGTTCTGGGAAGAAAGGCTTATCTTTAGAGAAATGCTGATATGGGGAGGAGGCATACATCCTTATCTTTAAGGGCATCATTCTTGGCTTTGGGACATTATAAATGTTTAAAGCAGATGTACAATGTATGCTTGATAGGCCATGTTCAGCTTTTCTGGAAAAACAAGGCCAGGCCAAGTTAGTTTTAAACTAAGTGGCTTCCTCATATACCCCAATATATCTTATTGCTTTTCACTTATTCATCAACAGCCATCAGATGGCAGGAGCACAGCGTTCACTTTGCCAGGGGTCAGGTGTCCTGTGCCTCCCTTCTGGCCAGTCCCAGGAAGTGGTGTTGCCAGGACAATTTGGAGCGGATAATGGGACACATGGAGGTGCTGAACGTGATGTAGGTTAAAGTATCACCAAATAGCCTTTGTGATAAAATATCACCAAATTGCTCCTTGACACTAATTTAGCATGTGATTTATTTATTCTCACCAACAATCCTGCAAGCTTTGTACTGATATTTCCACCTTATGGAGGAGGAAACCTGAGGCTCATAGAGATAAAATGACTTGCTCAAGGTCAAGATAAAAGGCTCCCTCTGTGCTCTGGTCACCCTGGGGTAGTGGGTGAGTTTTATATTTACCCCCTTTTTTGTGTGTAGGAGGAAGAGTCCCCCTGAGCTAATATCCATTGTCAATCCTTCTCTTTTTTTTTGCTTGAGAAAGATTAGCGCTGAGCTAACTTCTGTACCAGTCTTCTTCTACTTTGTATGTGTGATGCCTCCACAGCATGGCTAATGCGTAGAGTAGGTCCGCACCCAGGATCCAAACCTAGAACCCCAGGCTGCTGAAGTGGAGCACACAGAACCTTAACCGCTTGGCCATGGGGCTGGCCCCCTATATTTACCCTTTTTGATGGGAAGATTACTGCAGCTTTCAATTTAATCTAAGTTGAAAAGGATCTCCCTTTTTATAGAAACATGGACTCTCTGTTTAGTGCCATTAAACATCCACTAACTATTCCAGTCCAAATTGGGTTGGCTAGCAGATAATCCAAAATGCTCCCTCTTTCTTGTACCATGGAGTTTGACTAACCAATGCGGGAAGGTGGGTGAAGATTACCTAAGAGGGGTATTAGTGCCCCTCCCTGTGAGATCTAAACTTTTATATTATCACAGAACAAATCGAACTATGACATATGTTTCACAATTTACATAATCAACGTGATGCTCTTTTGACAATTATGCACATTGTTTTTTTTATAATTATAGAATCATGCTTTCCCTCTGGTCAATTTAAGAGAACTTCAAGTTCATCCCATCCTACCCCCAATGCTGTGATTCTGCTGTTCCTCATAATTCATTGTCAGATAATTTGATTAATTGGCATATTGTAGCCTCTCCACCTCTACCTCCGCGTAAACTACCAAAACAGTGGGCATCTCCTTCCTTCATCTGGGGCTTAGCACATAGTAGATATTCAATAAATATTTACTGATAAAGCATACGTAAGCAAGTGGCCTCTCATTTGGCTAATTATGATGAAAACAAGACACCACATAACAGTCATACACCCCTGTAGTGACCAGCCTGTACTGAAGAGTGAGAAGGATAGTAAGGGTTAAATTCTGCCAAGACCTGGTTGGGAGAGTGAATTAAATAAACCCAGTGTGAGTGGGCTCCTCTGTTTTCAAGCTTTTCTTCATCTCAGAATTTTTATGTTCTTTACCTCTTCCCTACAGCTCTGACATCAACCTCCATAAAATGGACTGTGTCTCAATTCTGTTCACTTTTCTCTTCAGGGCATAATGATCTGTATCAGTGAGTTAAAGAACCTTCTTTGCAGAGGAGGTAGAGCAGAAGAGATGGCTTCTGACAGATTGACTTTGCTAAACCCAGATCACAATGGAGGCAAATTGTACAATCTGTGAGAAAACCTAGGTTTGGGAAGAAAGTGGGGTCATGGTGTCCTCAGGGATTATAAAGCATGAAGAAAAGTGATGACTCCCTGTTTGATTCTCGACTTTCAGAGTGACCCTGGACCTACCAGAATGGGTAAAATTAAAAAGATGAAAATACTAAGTGTTGGCAAGGATGTGGAGCAACCAGAACTCTTATGTGTGCTGGGGGTAGGGGGGGAGGTGTAAATTAGTAAAACCACTTTGGAAAACTGTCTAGTCTTATATACTAAAGCCATGTAACTACCCTATGACCCCAAAAATTCCACACTTAAGTAATATCGAGTTAAGTGAATATGTTCACCAAAACAAATGTATAAGAATGTTCATAGCAGCCTGAAAATGGGAAACTATCTAAGTGCCCATCAACGTTAGAATGGATAGATTTTAAATGTTATATTCATAAAATGAAATGCTATCCACCAATGAGGAAGGGCAATCTATAATTCATGCAACAATATAGATGTATCTCACAAGTTTATTGATGAGGGAACAAGATCAGACACAAAGGAGTCAGTATCACGAACCCCAACGAGCAGCTCCCCAACATGCCTACCTTATTTGTGCAGCTTAACTTCAATTCACTTCATTGTCAGTTCTGGTTAGTGATTTGAAGATTTGCAGGGGAGACATCAGAAATGCCCATTTCTAGACTTCATAGGTTAGCAAAGTGATAGACAACCAAAATTTCATATATAAAACATTCGGTGGCATAAATATACAAAATATTTTTTATTTATATATAACATCCGATACAACACACATGCACATGTTTTGCTTTTGTGGAAAACTACTGTCCTTTCTTTCTCCCCCTCAACCCCCACCTGCAACGCATCACTTTGCTCTGTGTTGCTCTAGTTAAAAAATAATCACATATGATCTCACTTGAATGTGCAATCTAAAAAACCTGAGCTCACAGAGAATAGATTGCTGGTTGCCAGAGGTGGGGGTTTGGTGGGTGGGAAAAATGAGTAAATGTGAACAAAAGGTACAAACTTCCTGCTATAAAATAAAAGAGTCATGAGATCTAATGTACAGCATGGTGACTATAGTTAACAATACTGTATTGGACATTTGAAAGTTGCTAAGAAAGTAGATCTTAAATGTTCTCATCACAAGAAAAAAAAATTGTAACGTTTCACAGCAACAGATGTTAACTAAACATACTGTGGTGATCATTTTGCAATATATACATATATCAAATCATTGTGTTGTACACCTAAAACTAATACAATGTTATATGTCAATTATATCTCAGTGAAAAAAAAATCACAATGTTTGTTGGAAAATGAAGTCTGTAAATAAGAATTCTCCGGAGTCAAGCAGATACAGTCTCATCCTTCTCTCTCCCCAAAGATGAAGACAGGTGAAGCAGTGCTATTGTGGTTTCAATTATCTCAGCCTCTTTTTTTCTGGGCAGAGACAGGAAGTCACCTTGGGATGTGATTTGGTAGTCTCAGTTGTTCTGTGAAGGGTTTCTTGAGTGGCTTCCTTTGCTGCATAAATGTAAAGGTCAGTGGGCAAAGGCAAAGGTCACAATAAGATCTCCCACTCCCCCTTTATGGCTTAGCGGCAGTTTCTTCCACTGATCTATGCAAAATTCTGGGGAAGAAGTATACGATTTGCACAAGGGGGCCAGAGCATCTGGGAAAAGGGACCAGCACTCTAACCTGAACTGCTGAAATGAGAGTTAGGAAAACCTGTCAGGATAACAATCCAAGGTCCACGGGCAGGCAAGGCATCAACTGGCACTAAGGGAAATTCCCCTGAAGGGAGGATTCTTCTCAGCTTATGACTCAGACTCGACATCACAAGAGGCCTGGTGTTTGGGCCCGGAGGCAGATTCTTTCTACCTCAGTGTGTGGTTGAGAGACAAGGCTCACAAGACCCTGCCACTTAGGACACAGTGTCTGAGCTTGTGTGTGACCCAGGAGGGCTGCAATTGTGGAGCTCTCCCTAAGCTGGTCTGTATGTCTGGTCCAGTAAGGGCATCATCCTCTGGGCCCCATTGTATTGGGAAAGGCTGATTACAGAAGCCATCTCTAGTGTGTTTCCAGCTACATCCATGGTGCCTAACACAGTGTCTGGTACATAGAAGGTGCTCAGTGAATATCTGAGCGTAGAAGTTGCTAATAAAGGATACAGGAGCTGGAATTCAGTAACAACGCCATATGGTAGCAAGCACAGCAACCATGCTAGGAGACTCCAATCTCTGTCTCTACCTGGTTTTGGAAAGCAGGACTGCTCTGCTGTGGGTTGAATTCTTATACTATTCAGGTGGAGGAGACAGAGAGGCCTTGAGAAGGAAATAGTCTAGTTCTTGTGAATAAAGGTAAATTGATTTGCAATTGATTGATTGGAAAAATAAAAGAAATGTGACTGTATTTACAGCCCAAGCCAATGGAGCAAGGCTTACTAGTTGCATAAGATATTATTTCAGATATCTGACTCGTGTAGACAACAGATGACAATTCCAAGGTTCTGTTTCCCTTAAAGGACATGCCCAAATGAGGCTTATTTCCCCTGGGTGTGATCCTTAATACAACTACATCAATTTTTTAAGTTAGAAATAGCTCCTGGATCCAAAATGGGCTCAAGCCACTTTCCAAGAGTAAAAGGAGAAACTTGGCATTTCTAGTTCCCCAAAACCAAATGTCAAAATCTGGTCAATTTTCCCATATTTCAGGCTCATAAGTCAGAGGCATTGAAGGCAGAGCAGATGTTGTATATTATCTTGAGCTAATATACCATATTCACAATGACCACTATGTAAATAGTTAAAATATTAGTATTAATATGCTTGCCTGAGTTTTTGTTAGAGTTAGCAGTTGCTATTTAAAAACTACATATACAACTTAGGAACTGTATGTGAATCTCTTTTCTATAAACTAAACATTCCTGAAAACTATGTCAGTATTCAATTTATTTTTATAAATCGAATTCAATTGTAAATACAGTAGAAGAGTTTTTTAAAGAAATTTCTCCAAAAAATCATTTGATAAAATGAATGTTTTTTTAAAGCTAATGTTAACATTTGAGTTTTTATTCATGCAGCATTATGTGGTAGAAAAAGCACTGGATTGTTGGGGTCAGACCAGCCTTGATTGGAGTCCTTGTACAGAGTGTCAGTTTGGAAGGCAGATTTGAGAAAACCCATCCTCCCACCTTCTCATTTTGGCTGATTTGAACAAACCTTTCTCCATCTCCAAAAAAAAAAAAAAAAAAATAAGAAGAAGAATGTTGGTTTGTTTATCTGTAAATGGCCGTAAATGGAGATGATAAAACCTGGCTCAAAGATTGTTGTTGTGAACAATCATGGATGGACCTTGAGGGTATTATGTTAAGCAAAATAAGCCAGACAGAGAAAGACAAACACCATGTGATTTCACTCATATGTGGAAGATAAAGAAACACGTGGACAAAGAGAACAATTCAGTGGTTACCAGAGGGGAGGGTGGGCAAAAGGGGTAAAGGGACACATTTATATGGTGAAGGATAAAAATTAGACTGTTAGTGGTGAGCATGATACTGTCTATACAGAAACTGATAAATAATAATGTACACCTGAAATTTCATAATGTTATAAACCATGATGACATCAACTAAAAAAAAAAAAAGATTGTGGTTTTGGAGTCAGAGACGGGGATGTGACAACAGAAGAATGATCTGTCTCTGAGAAGAACTGTGCTGGTCTGTGAGAAAAATTCGACCCACTGTGGCTGGCTTAGAATCTGGAGGAAGAGAGCCACAAGCCCATGAATAAGGCAGCTTCTAGAAGTTGGAAAGTGCAAGGACGCAGATGCTCCCCTGGGGCCTCCGAAAGGAAGGCAGCCCTGCAGATCCCTCGAGTTTAGCCCAGCAAGACTCATTTCAGATTTCTCACTTTCAGAACGTTAAGATAATAAATTTGTGTTGTTTGAGTTTGAAGTCATTAAAAACAAAAAGATTCTTGTGAGGATTTAACGTAAAGCACAGTGCTTGCTACATAAGGGGTGCTCAGTAACGATTAGTTCTTTTTAGGGGAAGACTGTATTCTGGTTCGTTTAAATTGAGAAAAACCGTTGAGATGGTATTCTCTCCAACTCGACTCTCACCCTCTGATTCCTAGCACTTGCGCCCCTGTTAGACATTACAACCTGGCCTCCATCTGGCTGTGGAGAGCTCAGGAAGGATCAGCTTTGTGTTCAGAAAGAATAGCTAAGGGGAGAGCAGTGTCCTCACAGGGCCTGGGTGGTGACATTGGGGGCCATCACCAATGGGACAGAGGATGGCTCTGCCCCTAAGAGCAGCAACTTCATGTTGGTCATTGATAGGTGAGGCAGCAGAAACAAGGCCGGAGTAAAAGCACACAAATCATCTGTCCGCAAGCACAGTTGAGACAATACCCCTGGGCCCTGGGGGGTCACACTGAAGAAAGGTAAAATCTGATCATTTGGCTGGTGGTATTACAAGATATTCTCATTGGGCATCAAAAAAACGTATCCCTATCTTTTAGACATGTGTGTTACTTGTTTCACAGCATGGAAATAGCTTCTGTTTCATTGATTTGTGTTGGATTGGAGAGAAGTTTGAGAAAATGTCACAGTCTAACCTCCTCTTGCCGTTTATCAGGAACTTCTGAGACTTGGGTGGGAGGGAGGTAGAAAGAGAGAGAACCCAAGAGCAAAGGATAAAGTATAAATACAGCTCTTTGAGATACGGGCGCTTTGTAATGTTTTGTTTTTGCTTTTTTTCCCTCTTGTGAAAGATGACATGAGTAGAGCCATATTAAAATAGAGCCAGAGCAGCCGTTTCAGAGGAACTGCCTTGCACGTCTTGTTTTCTTTATCTTCCAAACTGGACAAAACCACCAACATTCCAAGAAGTCAGTGAGAAAGAATATCCTGTCTGTCAGGACTGATGAAATCGGACTTTGCTGATGATGGAATCGCTAACCAGTCAATGAAGTACAAACCTAGCCTTCCCTTATCTAGCACCAATGAACTCTTCTTTAATACAACTCAGCTCATCTCCTTTTTTCCCATAAAACCTCCAAGTTTTTCTCCTATAATTGGGACACTATTTTAGGTTTATACCTAAATCCGTGCTCCCTGAATTGCAATTCTTTGATCCCAAATAAACGCTTTGCCTCTTAAAACCAATTTCTGTTTTTGTTGGTTGACATACGGTGTTAGAAGTGGGATCTGAAGTGATCTCACATTTGAGGACTACCATTCCCTAGAAACAGGTTTGGTACCAACACAAGCCCTCTTGTGTACTTAGCCGCTTCCACACACAGATGACTCCTCCAATCGTGGGGCCTCTCAGGCTCAGATCTCCCTCCCTTTGGTTGAGGTTAGTGCTCTTCTTTGGGATGGGTGCAGTGGCTGTGGTCATTGCAGGAGAGGTTTCCCTCATGCAATGAGGGGACTCCCGCTGACAGTGTTGATGCAGCGTTTGCTGGGAGGGAATGCCCCCCGTAGATATGTGAGTACTTTGAATTTTGGAGGGATTCACTCAGTAAAATTCTCTGCTTAGATGAACGTTGCTGTGGGTTAATGTGCACATGAAGTAAAAGCTATTGCTATGGGACATCTTGGAAGCCAAGGGCGAAAAATTGGTGGGCATGTGTTGAGCATTTAAAAGCCATTAGCATGCTCACCACCTTAAGAGATCTCCCAGATAAGGTGGTCACAAAACAGGTTAGACTAACACTGTGTTACCTGTCAACCTCAAGAAAACTTCTATGTAATGAGGTACACTGTAAAAACATCACACAATCTCCAACCCCATGAAAGATCCCTCTTAAGTATTAGTTTGGCTACAAGAGACTCAAGGCTTAGCTAACCCATTAATGTACATGTAAAAAAACCTATTGTCATTCTAAGGTGCAAGCTTTTCTTTACTATGGGACTTTTATAAATTTTTGTCCCCGTAGACTGATAATACTAAAGATGGTTTAAAATTACCGTGGACACTTTGGGGCTTCTCTAAGCTTCCAAAACTTGTCTTTTTGAGCACTAGATTTGAGAACCATGGACCAGACAAATTAAATGCAATCTTTAATTTCTAAAGAGTCAAGCACACCACCTTCCAGCACACCTGCTTAAAAACTACAGTCTTGGAAGCTATAAATATTTACAAAGAACAACAAAATCTTACTAAGCTTATTTCATGTCCTGAGAGCTTGGCTTGGTAACCATCAGGTTGGGGGCCCAAAGTATGGTCAGACAGAAATGGGGGTTGCACCCCATTTGAGTCAGATATGGCTGGACAGAAATGTGGGTTGAACTTCATTTGTGACTAGGGTCCTACCAAAGTGCTGTCAGCCTCAGAGGAATTACATTGGCATTAGAAGTAGTGTTCCAATTAGACGAGATTATTTAAGAAGTGCATTTAAAAGCAAAGGCTTTGAAATTCCAAAGTAGCCTTATGGAAAGTTTTGTTGCAAAAAGCTAATGAAAAATTACAATATGAGAGGGACCTAAATGAAAAGACTATAAAAAAGTCTGGTAAGTTAATGGCTTTTCAGACACCCCCATATCTACTTTGAAGGAGGGCCCTCGTATGGGCTCCTTCCAGAATTAATGAAACTCTGAGAGATTTCCTGGTACACTGCTACATTATTCCCATATACAGTCAAGGAGAAACTAAAATTAAAAATTAATGGAATTGCCGGTGGGACCAAGATGGCGGAGTGAGTGGTCTTCTTTGCCTCTCCCCCTTCGAATCTACAACTAATTGGGCATTCACCAATTAACAAAGGATGTCCAGATAGCATCTCAAGATGCCTAAGAGACTTGTGCTGCTATACATCGGAAGGAGGATGGACTTCCCCCTGGGAGGAGGTGGAAATAGGTGAAAACTCTCCGACTCCCGACCCCCAACCCCTGGACAGCCTAGTACCTGCTAGAGGCTCTCTTCCAGCGGACTCCCCCATAGCATCGTCATGCACCAAGGGTGGGAGTGTGCACTCACCAGCTGAGTGACGGTGGAAACAGGTGACAACAGCCCTACCTAAGCCCCCCGTGATGACACCTAAGCCCCCCGCGATTACACCTAAGCCCAGGGGGAATCTCCAGGGTCCCGCACCCGCTGGCAGGGAAGGCCTCTGCTCACCATTAAAAGGGAGGCCCCGCCCAGAAACCAGAGCAAAAGGAAGCTCCCAGGGAGTGGATTCCCCGGCACAGCACGAGCCCGCCAGCTGCTGCTGGGCCCATGGTCTCCGGCTGTGCACGGGTCAGTGCAGGGGGTGCCCGGACTTCCCTTGGACATACTGAGGGACTGGGTGGAACTCCAGCGCCCGGCTCTGTGGCCCAGGGAGAGGCTCCAGGGTCCTGCACCCCCTGGCAGGGAGGGCCTCTGCTCGCCATTGGCAGGGAGGCCCCGTCCAGCATTCGGAACACCAGGAAGCTCCCTAGAGAAGAATTCCCCGCAAGGCAGTGGCTTGTCAGCCGCTGCCAGGTCCACAAACTCTGGCCGTGTCCCAGACGAGGCAAGGGGCTCCCAGAGATTCCATGAGAGTGGTGTGGGGCAGAGTGGAGCTCCAGTGAAACGGCTACATGGCCCAGGGGGGAACTCCAGGTTCCTACAGCAGCCTCAGTGAAAGCCTCTTCACAGCACTAGTGGAGAGGTCCTGACTGGCAATCACAAGGCTGGAAGGCCCTGGGGCAAAAGTAGCACAGCTAGGTGAGCTAACGACAGACTGCAGAAGATACCCATAGCTCTGCTGGGACCTATAGTGGACAAGTGTGATCTTGTGGGCTCTGTCAGGGACAAAGCTGTGATTATAGGTGATCCTGCTCCTGGCTGCTGGGAAAGCCCATAACACCGCTGCAGAACCCAAGGAGGGAGCATGTCTAAGTGGGCTGCAACAGTAGGCACCAGCAGCCTGAGGCCTGCTTGTGATTGCCCCCACAACCAACGAGGGACCCCACAGGACCACTGTGACTATGAGGAGGGGTCCAGGTCCAGTCAGTAACAGCTGACAGGGTTCCTTGTTGGTGCAGTCTAAACAGCTGCTCCCCACCCCCACACCAGTCACAACAAGTGGAAGCAGCGACTAAACTCTATCTCTAGGCAGAGGCACAAATCCATGCCATCAACCAGTATGAAAAAATATATTAAATCTCCAGAACAGAAGGAAAATGATAAGCACCCAGAAAACAATCCCAAAGACAATAAAATCTATAACCTAAATGACGATGACTTCAAAACAGCCATTATTAAAAAACTCAATGAGTTAAAAGAGAATTCAGATAGACAACTCAATGAGTTCAGGAGCTATGTCACAAAAGACCTTGACACTATAAAGAAGAACCAATTAGAAATACTGGAGATGAAGAACACAATGGAGGAGATTAAGAAAAATCTGGACTCTCTGAACAGTAGGGTCGATAATATGGAGGACAGAGTTAGCAATTTGGAGGACAGGAATATAGAAATGCTGCAGACAGAGGAGGAGAGAGAACTAAGACTAAAAAGAAATGAAGAAACTCTCCGAGAATTATCTGACTCAATTAGGAGATGCAACATAAGGATTATAGGTATACCAGAGGGAGAAGAGAAGGAGAAGGGGGCAGAAGGCCTGTTCAAAGAAATAATGGCTGAGAACTTCCCAAACCTGGGGAGAGAGATGGAACTTCATCTGACAGAAGCCAATATATCTCCAAACTTTATTAATGCAAGAAGACCAACCCCAAGGCATACAGTAGTGAAACTAGCAAAAGTCAATGACAAAGAGAAAATACTAAGGGCAGCCAGGCAGAAGAAAATAACTTACAAAGGAAACCCCATAAGGCTATCAGCAGATTTCTCAGGAGAGACCTTACAGGCTAGAAGCAATTGGAATGAAATATTCAAAACTCTGAAGGACAAAAACCTGCAGCCAAGAATACTCTACCCAGCGAAAATATCCTTCAAATACGATGGAGAAATAAAAACTTTCCCAGATAAACAAAAGTTAAGGAAGTTCATTGCCACAAAACCTCCTCTTCAAGAAATGCTCAGGAAGAACCTCATTCCTGAAAAATCAAAAAAGGAAAGGGGTTACAAAACCCAGAACAAAGGAGATAAGCAGGAGGACAATACACAAAGTAACAGCTCTCCATCAGGACAGGTTAGCAAAAGTTAAATAAAACATTAAAGATAAATGGAATGGAAACACCAAGAATAAATATAGCCTAGTCATTTTAACCACAAACTCACAACACAAAAAAGAAGAGAAAAAAAAATCTGACAATAACAACTTAGAAGGGGAAGAGAAAAGGGATGGAACGTTTTACTTTAAGGAAATAAGAGGCTATCGGAAAAAGGAGTATCTCATCTACGAGATGTGTTATACAAACCACCTGGTAACCACTAAACAAATAACAAGAATAAAGACACAAATTACAAATAAGAAGAAAGCCAATACAGAAATTTACCTACTTGAATTAGGAATCCAAAAATCATGGGACGAGAAACAAAGAAAATGCAAAAGAACCGGAAAACAAGTGATAAAATGGCAACAGTAGGCCCCCACGTTTCAATAATCACTCTAAATGTAAATGGATTGAACTCTCCAATCAAAAGGCACAGAGTGGCAGGATGAATCAAAGAACAAGATCCAACAATATGCTGCCTCCAGGAAACACACCTCAGCCCCAAAGACAAACACGGACTCAGATTGAAGGGATGGAACACTATACTCCAAGCTAACAATGAACAAAAGAAAGCAGGTGTTGCCACACTTATATCAGACAAAGTAGACTTCAAAGCAAAACAGATAACGAAAGACAAAGAGGGGCAGTATATAATGATAAAAGGGACAGTCCACCAAGATGACATAACAGTTATAAATATATACGCACCTAACACAGGAGCACCAAAATTCGTAAAGAAACCATTAACAAAACTAAAAGGAGACATCAACAGCAATACAATAATAGTAGGGGACCTCAACACCCCATTAACACCAATGGACAGATCATCCAGACAGAAAATCAACAAGGAAATTATAGAATTAAATGAAAAATTAGATCAGATGGACCTAATAGATATATATAGGACACTTCATCCAAAAACAGCAGGTTACACATTCTTCTCAAGTGCGCATGGAACATTCTCAAGGACAGACCATATCTTGGGAAAGAAAGCAAGCATCAATAAGTTCAAGAGGGTT